ATTCCATGGTCTAGAAACCAAACAGAATCTAGCCTGAAGTTCATTTCCTTCTCTTTCCTCAAAATCTGCCATGATTTCAAACAGGGAGAAACAATGGCTACCTGAACCAAGCCCTACAGCATCTTAGTCTTTTATACACCTTCTCTCTCTGCCACAATTAATTTAAAACAAATCATTAACATTTGCATCAAGGAGAAAGCAGAGTTCATAGGTTACTGCCAAGTACTGATACGGATTTTTTGGAAACGCACTGAGTGTCATATGTTTTTTACCATGTCCAAGGTCAAATGACAATACAGCAACTCTGTCATAATGCTATAGGTGGGGTCCCCTGCATGCAGTCCTATTAAAATGGAGAGTTGCATTATTAACACGGTAATGACATGGGAGGTCCCATCTGAGCAGCTAGTGGGTCAGGAATTAAAGTGGGGTGGAGCACAGGGGAAGTACAGGGCTTACTGCAAAACCTCAATCTCCCTGGGTCCAAGCCTCAGTTCGGCACTACACCATGGCTGATGTCAGATCAAACGTAAGTACTGACGAGGAATTCTGGGTTCTGTGGCCAGCAGAGACTTTCAGCATTTCAGCACTCACCTGGTTCATAGGAACTCATTTTACTTCCCTGCCTCTCAAGACTGCTCCTCCCCCAAAGGTAAGAACTTTAGCCTGTAGAGGTTAAGAAAGAGAAGGGCCACAGGGCAAAGAATGGGAGCCAATTACCAACTGCATTATATTTAAATTGTTACCATTTTCGTGGGAAGGGTATTTTAATCCTTTCAATTTAACTCCTCTAGAATAGTCTTCATAGTTTTCAAAACATATTCCTTTTTATGGGTCTGAACGAGGAAAAAAAAAATACTCCAGCAATTTAAAATATAAGCAAGTCCACCTGTTTATCTTTCTCGTATTCCTCGTACTTTTTACCTATCGCACTTCCCTTGAGAATAGGTTGTTCAGGAACTAGGTGATTGATAAAATTAACGCAAGCTTGAACAGGGTATAATTTACTATCTGTGATGCCTTCAGGACAGACAGTCACAGATTCATAAGACTGCCTATACTTCCACCTGTGCCGAGCCAAAGGGACCAGAGTTCATCCTATTTTTAAAGATAACCAGAGCTAAGCATCTGCCTTCGGCTCAGGTCATGATCCCGGGGTCCTGGGATGGAGTCCCTCATTGGGCTCCTTGCTCAGCAGGGAGCCTGCTTCTCCCTCTGCCTGCCGCTCCCCCTGCTTGTGCTCTTTCTCCCTCTCTCTGTGTCAAATAAAAAATAAAATCTTTAAAAAAATAAAAAATAAAGATAACCAGAGAATCAGTTTTTTGTTCCCAAGAAATCCAACTCTCCCCAACGTCCACTAAATCTTCAACCTAATTCTGCCACCCCCACTCCCACTTTGTTTTAGACAGTAGTGGAGAGATATTCTTTCTTGTAAAGATTTTTGTTCATAAAGCCTTTCTTTAGTGTCTGGTCCAGCTAAAGCATTGGGCAATAAAGCCATCATCAGCAATGATAGTGTTTGCAGATGTTCTAGGTCTAGAAATCATTGCTGGCATGTCTACATGCTCAAAAAATTCTTGGAAGTCTGGTGGTTTCTAGAAAGCTTGTGTTTTCTTCTGAGAAACTTCTGAGAAAACCTCAAGGACCAAGATATTAAAATAAACACATCAGCTTGGTGACCACGTGACTCAGCTAAGCCATGGCTATTGACCCTTCTCCAGATTAAAATAGGGTGAATAGAAACATGGGAGTGGGTGGCTACCTTTGAGGCAAGGTTCGAGGGTCACCATAGAAGCTGTTTGCCTCATAACATCAAGTCTACCACCTATCATTTAAGCTATGTGACTTTGATTCTTGAGGGCTTTTTCTTCCCTTATTTAATGCAAGCCTTATTTAATAATGCAACCATCTCTGGGAAGGATTACATCTGAAACGATTATCTGGTGAGGACCAGCACACAGAGCATTTGGGAGGAAGAGCGAAGTGTGGACATGGAGGTGGGGGTGGGGTGGAACTATGAGAAGGAAAGACGAAATCAATGAAAAAGGAGGTAGAGGGCCACCAAATTTTGCTTTCCTCTCAATTTAGCCTAAAACTGTTAGCCTAAAATTGAGGAAAATCTGTCCTTCCTTTTGGATGTTATTTTATTGTTTTTCAACTTCCATGCAAAATTTCTGCTCATCACCTAACACTCATGTTACAATATGGAATCTCTCTGTCCTGTATAGACCAGAGGAATAAGTTACCCGTATATCTGTTAGTCTTTGCATAAGATGAAATTGCCTATTTCAAATATTTCTAGTTTTTTTAGATAGCTTAATGCCCTATTGCTTCTTTTTAGTTACTTCCTGCTGTTAAATTAGGTGAAATGCTTTCTGTGATTCCTGGTCAGTAAATACCCTCCCTGGGCTCAGAATATACTTTTAATTTTTTATTGTGAAGTAGACATGCATAAAAATGAAACAATGTGTACTTAATAAATAGGATATGAACACCCATGTAACTTCCAACTGGATCAAAAGGTAGGATATTGCAAATATCCCAGAGAGCCACCCTGATCACAAACCGCACATTTCTCTCTTCTCACTTTTATGGTGATGATTTTCTTCCTCTTTTTTTCTTTGTAGTTTTACCTACTATTTATGTCCCCAAGCAACATCATTTAGTTTTGCCTTTTCCTGTGATCTACAAATGGAATCACACTCTGTATTCTATTATTCTAGCATCTTTGACTCAAAATCATTCATCCATCATGTCACACAGAGCTGCAGTTTCTTCATTTTCGTGGCTGTAATGTATTCCAGTGTACGTAGCGCTATTTTAATCCATTATCCTTCTCACAGACAGTTGGGTTGCTGCCAGGTTCTAGCTGTTATGAATAATGCCGCCACACCTGGTGTCCCTGCCCCTGATGTGTGTGCTCCTGAGTGCCTCCAGCGAGTACATCAATGACCGGGCACGCTGGGGCACGGTATATGCAGATCTTCAACTCCACTCGATAACAGGAAGCTGTTTTTTCCAAAGTGCTTCTTCCAATTTATATTGCCCATCCTAGTATATAAGAATTCCTGTTGTTCTAGGGGCGCTGGGTGACTCAGTCAGTTGAGTGTTGGACTCTTGATTTTAGCTCAGGTCATGACCTCAGGGTTGTGAGATCGAGCCCCGCTTTGGTCGGACTCTGAGCTGAGCGTGGAACCTGTCTCTCTCCCTCTGCCCCCAGCCCCTCTGGTATTATAATAACTTTGATGTTGTTGTCCTTACAGAACTGGCATGCAAACCATGCCTGTGTCCCTCAAAACTTAAAAACTCTTTCCAGGAATCATGCTTCCTCCCCAAGATGGACCCTCCGTGGAAGCAAAATCATGATCAATATCACCTGGTAAAGTCATTGTATTAAAAACTATACCAACATTCAAAGAAAATAAAAAAGAAAAGTATAAATAGAAACCATACCAACAGAATTTTAAAGGTAGCCTGGTTGATGTGACTATTTTTTTTTTTTTTTGATGTGACTATTTAAATAACTGCATTTCAGGTCAGTTTTTCAGTACCGCTCCAAGATCCAATCCATTAATATTTAGATAAATGAAAGGGTCATTAACATTTGGTGGGATTTCCCTCATGAGAGTAGTTCATGAGACACTTTAGTCACATGTTTCATTTTCTACCTGTGACAGGCACTTGTGAGATGATCTACACGATCCCGCAGTTACAGAATATTCAGTGACAGCCGAAAATTAAAGTAACAGAAGATGAGAGTGATATAAACTATTCTCTAAGAGACACATTTTTATATAGGCAATCAATTTATTAGGACACTCAACAAATGCAAGCAATGGGCACTTTTTAAAAAAGGAATTTAAAACTAATGAAAGAATAAACATCAAACAAGGCTCCTAAGAATTTATTAATGGTGCCTTTTTCTTTTTACTATGAAGGTCTAATAAAAAGCCTGTAAATCCTGCAGATACAGAAACAATTTTCAAGGAATCCAATTAACCAGAAGCAGTGACTCGGGTATGATATTGCCTACAAAAGGGGACCAAGCTAGCTTTCAGTATCCCTCCCTGGATGCTAAGAAAGCTCGCAGGACAGGAGCAGCTAGCTTTCTGCATGTCAGTCTCCTCTCTAGTATCTCCACGAAATGACCTGTCAATGGGATCTGATCTAGAACTCTTCCCAGTGATGTAGACACTCTGGTGACCTGGACCCTTGTCGCCAACAACTTCAAACAGGCTTGGACTTCGCATGTATGAATATTAACCTCACATTTATCCCACTCTATAGAAACAAATAGTGAAAACGATTGTATTAACTACTTCTATACACGTCACACATTTTGGGAGGTTCACTACTCTTTACTTCCCTCCAAGATACAAATTCTTGCTTATAAAAGTACTACTAGCACAGTGTGGCGTACTTTCTAGTTGTCCAAATACCCCCATTCTCTCCTGTATGACCAAATGACTATGAAGATTTAGAGGTTCAGTGATTATAGGACTTAATGATTTTAACCCCTTTACATTTGGAAACTCTTTAAATCCCATTATCTCGACAGCCACAGAGAATTTTAAAATCAGCTTGGCCTTTCTGGCTCCAGGTCTAAGGATTACAGAGTTTTAAAGAATATAAATGCTTCTCTGCAGGTCTACAAAGAGCTGTCCCCAACCAGTTGACCTCCAGGAAATAAAGCCAGCCCGTTCTCCAGCTGGTAACTGCTGATCAGAGTTTCAAAATAGAAAGATATGTACGTTATGCCACAAACCACCAGGAAAACAAGTAATTGCCTCCTCAACGCCACATGAAGCTAGTGAATCCGAAGATTCGATGTAGCGGGGGCCAGCAGACTTCAGACATGTGTCAGTAAATGTCTAAGAATGAGAAAACAGAAAATGCCAGGGACCCAAAGAAGCTTGTAGGGGCAGAGAGAGTATGTTCAGTGATTGGGAGCCTGTTACCTTGGATACCCATGAATCCTAGGAAACCCTCTGAGGTCTTACCTCTTGTGTCCTCACATTTATGTATCCATAGTGAGTTCGAAGGGGCCGCCTATATGTGTAGGAGAACGGTATCCATTTTGTGCCAGGCTGTCCAAAGCAGTTTAGCAGCAGTGGGAAATTCACTTCGTTTACAAGGCGCACAACCAGCAGGAAGAGGAACGCTGCTATGAAGCTCACTGCAATCATAGACTTTCTCTACAAAACATTAAAAAAAAAAAAAAATGAATGAATGAGCAAATGAATGACTTTCGACCAAAAGTCATCACAGAGGGAGGGTCCTTTGTTTCTCTCTCTTTTTCTTCCAAAGGGATCAAAGGACTGTTCCATTTAGGATATTTCACTTGGAGACAGAATATAATCATTTGGTGACCAGGTTGCTTTCGTGAGCCTCTGAGAGCAAGCAGAGCAGCTTTCTTAGATTATCCTTCCTTCCATCCCTACCCTTCCTTACTTCTCTATATTCCTCAACAACTTCTATTCAATTTTCAAAATGCAAATCAGACATTCCCAACTATATATAGGAAGCCCTTCCTAACTGCTCAGTTCCCTCAGATCATCATCCCTTCACCCCAACCTATCTACCCTAATAGAAACAAGCAGTCTTGCCACTCCCATACCTTGAAGGCACTTCTATTGTTGCATGTGTTTCATTGTATAATTATTTATATGACTTTTCCTCCATCTAACTGTGACATCCTGGAGAACGAGAAGGTACTGTCATACTGACCTTTGTATGCCAGGTCCTTAACACAGTACCTTACATATTGTAGGGGTCCAAGAAACATTTGACTGAATCAGTGAATGAACGAATGAATGGATGGATTTTTCATATCCTTGTAGACACTTTATCAACAATGACTTTGTTTCTTTATCTAGCACCTACGACAGGCAGGAAACTTTGCCTGTGCTATAGTATATACAAAAGTAAGACTCAAAAAGCTAAGAATATGAGTAGGACAAAATCCATGCCAAGCAGCATAAGAACATCCCTGTAAATGTGGAGCAAGAGCAGGAACAAGAGCATCTGACTGGGGTCCAGGAAAGTAGACATGTGGTTGAGATTGAGCCAGATAAAATGCATGAGTTTCATTCAGTAGAGATGTGTGAGTGAAGCTTTCCAGGCAGAGGGAACAGAGCAAGGAGGCAAGAAAATATGGGGTTATTCATAGATACATAGCACTTTGTCTTCCTGGGGCACAGAGGAGGAGAAAAAGCTGGAAACACAAATGATAACTTGATGGACTGCCTGAAATACCAAGCTGAGAAGCCTACTGAGTTGGCTAGGGGATGGAACACCAAAGGAGGTTTTGTTTGTTTGCTTGCTTAATTTCTTAAAGGTGACTGTTATAAGTTATAATCCAACATCAGTGCTTAAGATGTTTTGGAGCAAGGAGACACTAAAGCTAGGCAGCAACTCGTTAGGAGGCTACTCCAACTGGCTCAGACAAAAGTAATGAGGGATGGAAACTAGAGGAGTGGCAAGGGGAACACAAAGGCAGAAAAAGATATGAGAAACTCCATGTAGGTGGTAGGCAGAGACCGTGGCTCCTGATTGGATAGAGGTGCAGATGGGAAATTCAGAGATGCCTAGAGTTTGAGTCTAGGTAACTGTAGTCCTATCAGGAGAAACCAGGGTGGTCAGAGCAAGAACTGATTTAAAAGAATAAGAGGATAAAGCCCTTGGCTTCCAAAGTCCTAGTTCTCATCCAGATGGTGGGTCATCTGAATGGAGCCACCCAGGAGTCAAGTGGAAGGTCAAGTCTAGAGCAAGAAGAAAGAACAGAGTGGAGGGCAGATGTCAGGAATAACTCTGCCTTGAAGTCCGGGGTGAAGACACAATGAGATATTGCTCCACGAAGCTGGGCTTGGCCCTTGATTCTTCTTCAAACTTAAGGGAAGCCAAATAACTTGCCAGGAATGACTGGATATGTGTTGCTGTGTTTCCAGCTTACCACTTTCCTGGTGAAATAAGCTTCTTTCTGCTCTTCACAGAACATCCCAAAGGAGAAAAGAAACCCAAAGCCAGCCCCTGTTCCTCACTGGGTCACGGTCACCATCTCTGCAAGGAAAAGCCAGAGACCCCAAAAGAAGTCTTCGCTCTTGCTCAGCTCCCATAATTTATAAAAGCCCCATCCCTCTGTCTAGCCAGCCTAATTTTCCAATCACCTGAAAGTCCCTTGAGTTCTGCCTCCCCAAAACCCCTTATGTCACCACTAACTACCACTGCCTTACCTCATTTAACCTTCTAATTATGAAAAACTGTTTTAATTTGCTACTCTGTGGAATCATTATGTCCACAACATTGCAATGTGTCAAGGTAACAGCTTAAATGAGGTGAGGGATCTTACAAGTTTAAAGGGACACAGACCAGAACAGATGGCTAAATAAAAGCAAAGAGACCAGTCACCCATTAAGTAAACAGGTAAGAACCTTTTTTATCGCCATCCGGTAGCTTGTTGCAAAACAACAGTTTTCTTTGAAGGAGACCCAGATGGGATTTGTGCCTTTTGTCTACTCCAGAGCTCAGCATGGCTCTCTGGTTCTCCTGCTTGCTGCACTGCATTGCATGGCTGGGGGGTTAGGGACAAAGGCACAGAGGGCCTTTCTGAATTCGCTGATTTCGCGTAGCCACACATACATAATGCATACATGAGAGGAAAATAAATCAACCATTTGGAGAGAAACTTCAAAATGGAATGAAATCACAGCTGTAAGAGTCTGCTCCCTAGTAATCCATGTCTGCCTCCCATGTTTTATCAAAGGGAACCAAGTAATGAGCACAGAGAGGATGAGGGGAGCAAATGGAGAGTAGAAGCCAGACAGACTCCTCTGTGCTTGACCTGGAATCATATTCTGCAGTGGGCAGAGGTGTTCCTTTTATAGCTCAGGCTTTGCCTGGACCAGACTCTTTGCCTTTTTTTACGTTTCAATATTCTTCTTTAACATGAAAGCATTCTCAGAGTGCTGATATAAAACCACCCTGAAATTTCACTAGAAAAGGTATAATTTCAAGCACATTCTGTACTTCAGACAGCAAGGACACAGGACGCCACATTGACACGCGTCCTTCCAGCAGTCATTCCTGCCAAATCATGACCTTGAATTTCAGCAATTACAATAAAGCCCGTGGATGAGGCTTTTGGAAGTCTACCACACCAGAATGCAGTGAGAATGTGTGTGTGTATTTGTGGGAGGGATGTGGGAGATGGGGAAGTAACAAAATACTAATACATATGATATATATGAATGTATTTACTCCTCTAAGCCACTCATTGAGCCCATGCTCTGTACAGACTTGGTGAGGTGCTGAAAAAGCAGAAATAAAACCCTAAAAGACTTGAAATGATGCCTCCAGACAGTCACACCTTATTGCAACTGGCAAGTAAACAGAAGGGTAGAATGCCACATATCAAATGAGGTAATGGAGGTTACGCACAGGGCACTGTACCAGCTCAGAGGGAGTGGGAAGGGTTGTGCGGGGGACAGTTCAGGGAATGTTTGTTTGGGGAGGCAGCATTCAAAAGGAGTCCTGAAGAATGAGGAGGAGTTAGATAAGTGAAGATGGAAAGGGCATTCCAGGCAGAGGGAACAGCATAGACTAAGGCCTTTGGTAAAGAGCACACAGACTATGTGGTGGGAGATGATGGTAGGGAAGTAGAAGGGGTTCAAATCCAAACACAAAAAATAGTAAGCCAAACACATTCAGTCAGATGCAATTATCTGTCCCATCCATCTTACGTTAGGATAATGAAAGGATAAATGCATACAAGTGCTATGCTTTATAGTTCTAAAACGTTCTTCACTTTCCAATCAAGTGAAAATATATCAATCACGTCATATTATTTGAAATTGCCTTCTAACACACCACAATGCCTTGTTTCCAGTTACTTAAGTTTATTCCATCAGTGACTTGTTCAAGCAATTGTTCTAAGTCCATCAACACTCAGCAAATTAGAAGACTCTACCTATTTCTCTGCTCTATGTCTAACAATCTGTTTATGGAAGCAATTGCTGCTGCCTTTACTGAAGTAATCGGGGCATCTCCTAGATCCAACAACCAGCAACTAGGTAAGAAAAAACAACAATTAAGTACTCATCAAGTTTATGATGTATAAGACTCAATCTGACAAACTTTCCATACTGCAAAAATAGGCATTAAATTTAATAGGCCATTCCTCTAAGATCAAAAGTATGGACTTAGGGGCATCTGGCTGGCTCAGTCAGTAGAGCATGTGACTCTCAATCTCAGAGTCATAGTTCAAACCCCATGTTGGGCACGAAGCCTACTTAAAAAAAAAAAAAAAAGTATGAACTTAATACGAAAATGCACCATTCTGGCACACAGTGAGTACTCAAAAATGGAAAATGTTATCATTGTAACTACTAATTGTCAGAGCCTTGTTGGCTGTTAGCCAGTTGGTAAGAATTGGCCACCCCATGTGAATGCATGATAAAAACTTGGAGATATCTTTTCTCAAATATTCCAAGCAGCTGCACACCCTTGAACTATTCAGTCCACCCGAGCTCTGAGAGAATGTCACTGTGCCCAAATAGATCTGATGAATTGCTTTAGGGAAAGCTTTCTCCTTCTTTGTTCCTCATTTTGGGCAAGTCTGAAGGGGCCTTTAACAGCTGAGACAGTTAGAATTTAATCCCCTCTGTGCTGCAAAAATATGCATCAAAAATGTGGCATTCCAGTTGCTTGCTCTTTAGAGTTGGAATATCATTTATCAGACTTATAGCAGAAATACCTATTTCAAAATAAAACCCAAAGAGAATTCATGATTTAGGGAGAAAACAATTGCAAATATTTGTACCTAGCAAATTTGCAAGCTATATTAATGTTTGTATGTTTTTATTCTTTCCACCACAGAATTAGTCTTTAATCTCAGGATAAAGTCTTTACCTTTTAATTTAGTCAGCTGCTAGACTTTTTGTTTCTTTTTCATAAATGATTAACAGTAGTATAAAGCTGTATTTTTCCATTTAAATAGTATTATTTAATTACCAAAGTAGTTGCTTTCCAGGGTAAAACTGTATATATTTTGTCCATATGCTGTCATTTATCAATAATAAATATTTGTGTTGACTGTTTATTTATATCAGTGCACAAACCCCCTCACATCTTGACAAGTGCCTACCCGTTACATATGTGTGACCTTATCAAATACAGATTCTTCTCCCATATAGAAAAT